TTTTTCTCGTTTTACTTGATTTTTCTTCCTTTTTTTTTTTTCTTCATACATTTTTATACCGTAACTTCTCAAGAATAAACCAAATTTATTATTTCATCGGCAATGCTTGAACAGATGTAGAGGGAAGAAGCTTGTTAGCTATAAAATTCCGAGTCGATTTTAAAATTTATGCCCTTTGGGTTTTTTACCAACCTATCGTTCGTTCATTCTGCTACTAACTCTCGCGATTTTATACAAATACGCATCAGGGGGCCGTTTTATATATTGACTGCTTGATCTCGCAGTTGATAGTTTTTGTCTATGCTCGTGTGTGGTGATTTAAAAAGCGAGAAAGCGATTTATTTGTTTTATTTTAGCTTTTATTGCTTCTAAATTAGTCTGGACTTAAAAGCACCAAAGGTTTTTCCAAAGCTGAAAGTTTGCTACCATCGAGACCAAAATGTTAGGTATTTAAGATTCGTTGTAAAGCGTCGTATACTATTTTATATTTCTTTTTGCATTTTATTTCTTTTTCAACTCCTTTTCACACTGAAGTGTGAAAAGCAATTTCCAATGTTGAAGAATCGATAGATTACAAAAGAGAAAAGTGTTTTAATAATATATGTCTTTCGATAAAGCGTTCAAGAATGGTTAGTGTGCTAATAATTACAAAAATACCATCTATTAATAAAAAAAAAAAATAAATAAATAAGAAGAAGAAGGAGAGAAACGAAAAGAAAAGAAAAGAAAACAAGTAGGTTGAATATTTTTGAGTGGAAGAAGCGTTGAGAATACATTGGATTGTTATTTAACAACTGTTGACATGCACATGTAAACATTTTTAGATAATTTTGAACAGATTGTTAATTAGATCTGATTACATATTTAATACTATTGAGATTTCTTGGCATATTAAGTGGCATGTTCGTTGCCAACATTTTCATGTGATGATTGACATACACATAAGTGTTATAAAATACCGAGAGCACTGAACTTCGCCTCTACAAAGTTGGACATTTTCTAGGCAATAAATCAATAATACGCTGTCAGAGCAGTTTATAAAATTTACATATAACCATTAGGGCAGGAAGGAGGTAAATTAATTTTTATCTTTACACTAACGTTACACTGAGTACTTTCGAAAATTGCAAATAATATGAAATGAAAAAAAAAAAAAATTTAGCATGATTTTGATTTTACATCTTAAACTGAGCTGTGTTTGCATATTACCGTACAAAGTTAATTAATTTCGAAGAGAGAGATCATAACTCGGACAGGAAGGGCATGACTGTTCGAATTGATGGACAATAGCAAGCATTCGCAACGAGTCAATCTGTAAAGTACGTTTCGGCTTAAGGATTCTTATCGATTGAAGTATTACGTCGGGCAAGGATAGTGGCATTGAGAAAACTTAAACCCATTTAGATGTAGTACCAATTTATCTAAAGAGCTGAAATCGGAAGAAGATGACAAAAAGGAAACCGGCAGGACAACGGTTACACACCTATACTAATTGCTTTACACTATGTATTTCCCATTCTCAATTAAATCAACCAAGTTACGGCCAATAAGTTTTTTCCTAAGAAAATCCTTAGTCATCGCCAAGAATGCCAAGCCACGGACGCATAAGTAGCGCAAATTTAAAATTATTATTTGACAATGTCCTTGAAGGATTTATTCCTAGTCAACAACACTGTCAAACACTGCTTTAAAAAAAAATTCAATATTATTTATGTTATTTGTCGATTTATGTTCACGGAGCATATTCTGTGAATTAGTTATAGAAATAGTACCAAATAGCTGCTTGTAAAGAAAATATTTCTCAACTGCATGAGTAATTAATTCTCTTAAAAGCCTTAATGGGTAGAACAGCGAATACCTAAATAGAAAGAACCGAACTTTTGTCTTCGCAAAGGTCAAGCGTGCAATACAAAGCAGGGGCGTATAAAATTGTCCTAGAGTGTTTTTCTTCGGTTTGAGGTAGCCATCACAAAAACAAAGACCGAAAGACCGAAAGACTGAAAAAGGCGTGCTCATATGTTGAGATTTTGAAAAATATGATGAACACCTATGTCCTGACCAGCATTGTTATATTCCTCAGTTCATTTCTGACTTTTGTTTTGTGTTTGTCAAACCAACCAGAGCCTTCACTATTTGTGGGATAGGATATATGAAACACCCAGTAGAATTCAAGACAGACACACTTTCTATTATACCGATCGATTCAGTCATTTTTTAAGCCGAACTAAACTAAACTTGTCTCTTCGTCCGACCGTACATGAGTCCGTCTGGTTTTCTTGTGTTCAGATCTCAATTTTTGACATGTCGGTCCAATCCGAATCACTTACTGCCCATATATTGTTGTGGTAAATCTACAGATTGTAATTTTGGCAATATTTTGATTGAATTTGTTACACCGTCAGTGGACGAACGCTATCGAAGATAATTTCGATCGATAAAAAGATCATTTTCGACTATTGCCCCGTATAACGGCCTATTTTTAAAAGTCGTTATATGAAAAATAACGTAACATAATGAATGACGGCACTGAGCGAAATGGTTTTGCATATTGGGTCATGGTCGACTGTGAATTTTTTTCACGTCTATCTTTTTAATTCAAACTTGCCTCGCTGACCTAATTGGAAAATTACTGCAGCAGACGCTCATATGGTAGTCGAGCAGGCGAGCAAAGGGTAGACGGGGGGCGAGCGGTGCGATGAATGGACTTACAATCTAAACAGCTACACTGAATACCTATCAGGTCTTATGGTCATCCCAAATTTTCAGTAATGCTGATTTTTAAGTTTATTTACCATCACGTGATGTAAAGAGTTCTTATTCTTACAAAAAATGGAATATTTTCCCATAATCAATTGTTTTTATTACGATCGAACTGCTTTCCGAATTTTATACATAAAAGTTTGATCGACGTTTTAAGGTGACATTAAAACCACATTACTTCGGATATTAATATTGTTTAGCGAAATTTGATTATCATTACAAACATTTCACTATTCCACTATCTAGGTATCCAAGAAAATATTAGTAACGGAGATGAAATTTAGGCAGCTTTACAGTCTTATTATTTTTTTGTTTTCATCAGTTTTGCTTCTATCAAATATATTATGATTAGAAATGTATGTATGTGTAATGTTTATTTTTCTGTATGTTGCGTGACTTATTTGCAAATTATTGACGCCAATATCCTCACAAAGAAATCTATAAACAAAAGCAATGGAAATAACAATTTTTAGTTTGAGTCGAATTTTGTGGCATCTACGTGTATACAATACCATCTAGAAATAGTTTAAAAGACTGCAAACAGAGAAAAATCTATCTATCTATTCCTCGATCCCAATTGCTTTAAACCATCTAAATAGTGCTAGGAGTCGTTTTCTCCAAAATAGTTATTAACGAAAGCGATGACCTTCTGATCTGACAAAACTCCTTGCCCTGCGAGTGTCCAACTTTTGCAGACAAGCGCAGCAATCTCCATGTTAAGGTTCGAAAATTTTTTCAGAAAACATGCGTAAGTGTACATTACATGAAATAGGTAAATAAGTTTAGGTCATTTTGAAGTTTAAGTTCACGGGTTTGGGGGATTTTTTCAAGATTTTCATATCCCACATACAATACTATACTATATAGTACTATCTCCAGCCTAAGCGATATGAAAATATTATATTGATACAGATAATGAAAAATTGGTGCATTATGATCATTTAAATCGAATATTTAGCCAGACATCGATATCGATAGGGAAAAAATATTGACAAGGATTCCAGTTGAAGTTCTCAAGCTGATGGCATCAGGTGGAGGGGATACATTATGAATCTCTTAAACGAAAGCGTGGCATCATTGAGCAATCACTTACACAATAAACTGCCAACAACTGATGCAATGGTTTCGTAATATTTAGCGAAGAATGCTCGCAATAGAGCAGAAGACAAGTTAAGGCAATTTTTCAGCATGACAGCGCTAAGGTGTGTATACACGTACGTAATAAAAGTTTAGCAACTGTTGGATGAACTCAATTAGTATATGCCTTTTATGTTCCGTAAATTTATTTCATCTTTATGATGAGAATATTCATAACAAGGCCTCTTTCGAGGATGTCCTCAATAGACCAATAGTTGCAGGCGTTACCTTTGAAAAGTTTTGGTCAATTCTAAATTCTTTTGCAAATTTGTAGTCGATATCTTCACTTTCGGTAACGGTAGATTGTTTATCGCAAATACTATAAAGTTGCACCAACGAGCTACTAGATAGACAAACAGGCAGACATGTTTAGGTGCAGCCCAAATTTGACATTGGCCAAAAATTTATACACTTTATGGAATTTTTAAAGTAATTTCTGTGCTTTGCAAAGGTATTGCAAAAAAAATTAAATTTTGATACACTGGATAGGCGTGGTCAGTTTTTTTCAATTTGAGTGCGACAGCTTCAGTTTGCGGCCAAGAGAACGTTTACAACAAGTATTAAATGGACGAACAGGCGGACAGACGGACAGAAGGACATGCTTAAATCGATTTACAATGTCATGCTGATCAAGTTGAACATACCCGTCTTGAAAATTTGTCTTCAAACTTAATACTTGAAGCGTTCTTGCCGCGAAACCTGGATAGTTGATAGAAATAGAAAGCTGTAAGACAAGTATCCTAAACGAAGTTTTAACATTTTGATATAAACAAAAATCATGAAATATCTTTAAAATAATGCCTTATGTATACTGTTCGTTGGTTCGGAGAGATGATGTTTTTTTCTTAAATTAATGCAAACATTACAAACGGAATGAAAAAATTAAAAGATTTCCGGACTGTAAGTGATTAGTTCATACAGATTGAACCGCAACGCTGGTTTTGCTTGTTTACTTACGTTATTTAAAAAAAAAAAAAAAAAAAAAAAAAATTTTTTTTTTTTTAATATATACATGGTATATATATTATGTAACTTTTCGTTTAACCAGTTATTGTGAAGATGCAAACCAGCCAATTTTTACAAGCTTAATCGTACATACTTACATAAATTTATTTGTATGTGCGTGGATAACAGTCTAAACAGATTTGCTTGCTCACTTTTATTACATTTTAAATCATACGGTTGCGTGTTGTCTTGTTTAACCTGCAATTACCAAAAAGAAAAAAAAGTTAAAAAGAAAGAAAAAAAAAATAAATAAAATGAAAAATACATATTTTTTTTAATATACATGAATGTTAGCAAAATTATGTCTTCTATAATGCGCGGAAAATAAATTAAGACAGAAGAGAGATTATTTTTGTGTGCTGCGCACCATCTATGTAACAAAAAAAAGGCCGGTTTGAGGTTATTGAGGAAATTAACAAAGAAATGTATGAATTTATATACAAAAAGAAGAAGAATTTTCGGAACGTATTGATTTAGAACCCATGATAAGTTTGCGAACACATTTTATTTCAACTTTAATAGTCCATAACGAATATATTGGCAACATGGCCCTTAAAACCCAATACCGCAATTTGATGATACGGAGAATATGTTCTATGTGTGTTTGTGATTTTCATCAGTATTTATTTTCTTAAGTTTTCTAATTATTTTCGATTTGATTTTCCTCACCCGGATCCGTTTTTCCGTCCACATTTTTTTGTGTCTGTCATTAGTGTCATTGGAACGCTAACAGTTTGGCTTATCCTTGATTTGTAAATTTTTAGCTTAAAAGCAATGATTAACCTTCAAAGTATTTACTGCGAAGAACCCAAATAAAATATCTAATCAGTTTAATCTATTAATGTTTTTGCTAAGAAAGTTCGATTGCCTTATAGTAATTCAAAAAAAAAAATGTTCCACCAGCATTTGCGTGCTATTACATAGCGAATCAATATAAATTCAATTACGGGTAAAATATTTTTGGTGGCGATAGCTTCAAGAAAACGGTTAAACTTTACCTGCTGCTTAGTATATCAAAGTCCAGGTTTACGCACTCTAATGTTATCAAAAGTGTAGTATAAATGACATAACAAACTGTAAATTTCTCTAAATATGTAGATGTATTTTACTTCTTAATAACCACGTCACGTATAGAAAGTTATAATCAAGCTTAGGATGACCACCTATGACATAATAAAAATTCTTTCCAGTTTTCTAATTCTTCAATTTTTCCTTTCGCATTATTCGATTTAGACAAGGTCAGCGCTTTGGCTTCCCCAACGACGATCTTTTCCATCAGAGAACATTTTCAAAAAAGTGTTGACATAACGTGCCTGTCAAAAAGCTTGTGAAATATTACCCTCCAAGATTGAAAATGACACATGACACATTGAAAGGTTCTTTAAAATGGTATAAGTTTATGCTGATAATTCCTTTTTTCCTCGCTTCTACGCAATCGTTTTCATTCGAGATCTCTATCGGCACTTATTAAATTAATTGTCTCCATTAAATGGATCGAGATCATTTGAACACTACTTTCTATCGGAAAGATGGTGTTCTCCGTATTGGAAATGTGTGGAAATGTTTTCTTCATAAGAGTGTTTATAGTAGTAATTATGGAAGACAATATACATCCGGAGGCGAATATTCTATACTCACCCCTCCTTATCTTCAAAAACCACGCGAAAAATGAAATTTCGGTAGTGGGGGGATGTAGTAGATCTTTTTGCATTTTCGTTCAGCAATATATGCGAAGATTCTTATCTTATCAGTAAGAGAAGCGGAGCACCCAATTTTCCTGTTTGCTCATAAACGACAACGAATAAAATCCTAAAGATCTTCATGTATAATCTATGGATGATCTCATAGTAGTAGTTGTTACAGTACGCCCACCCAATGTACCGGTTATCGAATTTTTAATTTTTTTCGGTAAGCGAGTTGAGTCACAAGAGATTTGGTCGAGCATAATATTTTTATTTGTTTTCTATTGACTTGGGTTAGTTAAGCTGGCAAGTACCTAAAAGTCGACTGACGGTGAGATGCGGTTTTCTAATTTTTTAATGTTTTTGAAAAACTCTTCATTCATTTGATAATAGGCAGGAATCTTCTTTAATGAATATATACAGTATTCCTACTAATCAGTAACAGCATTCGGAATCGATGAGCCATATGAATACTGCCACGTACATGGCTCTCAAGCCGCCTGCCTATTCTTGTGTCTTTATATCTGCGTAGACTTCCACTTGTTACTCGCGTACAAATATACACAAATCAAATTTAAAAATAAGCATGTGGAGCACTCAAAAACTGAAAATCAGTCGTGTTGAAGGCATTAGAGTTTTTTCGAGTTGAAAAAGTCAAGTTTTTCGGGTTAAAAAAAAGAATTGTGAAACCCTGCATTCATGAATAAACCCCATGACCCATAGAGTCTGTATCTATTAAAAATTCTAGAAAAATGATTTCAGTCGACTAGCTACGGATTCTGTCACAGCGAAAGATAAAAAGGTGTAAGCAAAGTTTCCTTAGTTATTTGATTTGGGCTTTCTTCGTTAATCTTTTGAAAGGCCATTCTTGGAAGCGCTCTGCTTCTTATCGGTATATATATACACAAATGAACACAAATGTATGTCTATCGTATAAATATATTTCTCTTTCTTTCTTTTTTTTTTTTTTTATTAAGCGTATTTGAAGGCCCATCTCGTCTCGCATATTTGCAATAAACACTGATAAAACTCCGCCAATAAACCACCATATCGTTTACATTTTATGTGTTTAGAAAATTCTATAGAAAAAGCCTTAGAAAAAAAAACACAAAAAAAAACTAGCAACACCAAAACAACAACAATAAGTACAACACACATTAAAGATGTATAATCTGAAAATTTGGCCATAAGCATGTGTATTATGGTATTGTAAAAGTAGTAATTTTAATATCAAATAAAAATAAAGAAAAACAAAGAAAGAGACTATGCGCAGTTAAGGTTGAATTTTTAATACCCTATTATTATAGGCATATAAGGCATACGAAAATGAAAGATCTCAATATATTTATTCTCGAGCTGATGTTCATAGGACGCTTGTAGAGATCGCTAGTTATCCTCTTTATGCCCATAGGTATATGCTGATGCTCTAGTATTTCTCTTTTCAAAAATTCCTTCATTATGATAACTTTTTTGTTTTGAGTTTGATTAGTAAACTTTTCCGCAATGAATTTCATTTTATATCAAATATTATTTTATTTAGCTTACAAATAAGTAAAGTCGTAGTCTCATGCGTATTTTCTTGCTCTGCAAGCCCTAAGACTTTGTTAATACGCTTTTCTGATTAGAGTTACAGTTAGCTATAATGTAAGTAGAAAAGAAAAAAACAACAATACTCTGGGCTTAGCAGCTAACTTCAGAGGACAGACGTATAAAGTGCTCGAGTGTAAGTGTATAGCAAACACAACATATGTATATAAATGCGGCTGTGTATAATACTGATGCAGATTTGCAACTTACACCTTGTTTTATTTTATGTTCTGTCTTCTCTAATGTAATTGATAACAAAAAAGAAAAAGAAAGAAAAAGAAAGAAAAAGAAAAAAAAAGAGTTGAAAAAAAATACTAACAAACAATGTAAAAGTAATTGAGTGGTAAAAGAAGGAAACGGTAAATCTCGGCACCTTTTACGGTTTATAGTAAAAAACAAAAGGAATTTAACATTTTAATTAAAATCGAATAAAATTTACGATTGTTAAGAGACATTTACATTTTACTGTTATGTATGCTGTTGAGATTTTTATTTTTGTAATTAACAAACTAAACAAATTACATCGAAGTATAAAGTAAAAAGTATTTAACAAAATTGTTTAAAGGATAAACGCATCATACACTTTTAGCTACCCTTTTAAGTCACTACTACCTCATGGTGGTATATATGCTTAATTATGATTTCACATCTATCGTGAAGCGAATATCTCTGCTTTCTATATAGGCGTTTTCAGAGGTGGACATAGAGAGGACAATCCTTGCAATGGAATTTCCTTAAAACATAGTAATCTAAGTTTTAGCTATGTATCTTGCGGATTAATGTATGAATGCAAGTCTCTCTTTGGCTACGTCTGACAATTATTTTTAAACTTGGGCTTTTGTGAACAATGCCATTTTATGTAATACGCCAAGTTTCCGCTATCACAATTTCTTTTTGCAACAAATAGCGGAACTATGTGAATCGTCGGAGGATCATAGACGCACCGAAACTCTTAGGTTTTCGCGATGCTCCCCATAAGCGTTAATTGATCGCTTTATAGGCCCTTACTTGCTAGAGTTGCTCACTCAACGACAAAGGCGGATTTAAAGTTTATTATCTGTACCTTGGAAATCAATACCTTGGAAACCTAAGACGAATCTCAGAAGAGCGTTCTTGTTCTTAAGAAAAGAGAACATTTTTCTTCTTCCATTCGAGTGGCCTTTGTAGGGGAAGTCAAAGACACTTAGGTTCTAATGATCTGCAAAGTTTAAGAGGGCTGAGATGACGTCCTTGGACGCATTTATTTCTTCGAAAAAGGATGGCCATCTGAGATATCTGTCAGATCCGAAGGTAAGGTTGACTCCGGCCGCGTATAAGGTCGTCCAAAGCTGTGCAGCATAGCGTAAGCCTACCAGGACGATCAGTTATAAAATTTTGGGCGTTAAAGAGGGTCGGGTTGCTCTCGGTATGACCATGCACTACCCCATCATGCTGCCGGGATAATAACCTTCTTGCCTGACTGCTTGGACTGATATCTTCATTTTTGTAACCACACACACGCAGACGGACAAACATGGCTTAATCAATTCATCATTCAAACAATCACGGATAGTCAAAGCAAAGAGATAGGAAGACGGAAAATAGGCCGAACTACGGAGAATCTTAGCAGATGAAGACGAAAGAAAACGATTAACCAAATGGTGGGACCGGCTTAAGCTTGACTAATAATTCATAAGCAGCGTTGGAAGCTGTTAAAATTGTAAGAAGTTTTATATTTTTCTGGTAAAATTTTATCGTTATAAACGACAAGAGTTACATAACATTAATGATTACAAACCTGAAAAGGGCGCTAATCTAGCATCTGTTCTTGATGGCAATGATCTTGACTTTGCATTTGAACTTTAAAGTGAATGAATAAAAACATTTTAGGTCAAAGTAAGAAGATGAAGACCTTTTTTAATTTTTTTTTCTTTTTTTTTTTGGACAAAA